TGATATTTATTTCTATTAAGTACATATATTTATTTGTAACATTTTTAAATTTTTAATCAATTTTTTTGAATGATTAGCTATTACAAAGACCTCATGTGTACTTTCTAAGGATCACAAGACTTATGATCCAATTGCCAAAGTTTTAGATTATTTCTTCAACTACTTTTAAAAGTAGAAATTTAAAGAATAAGTTTCAATAGCCAAATAATATATGTACAAGAATCTAAAGATCTAATCTATGTCTAAAAAACTTCTTCAAATTTTCTTCAAAAAGATATTATCTAGCCAATATGTTTCTAATTATTATTTAATTATATTTACTTAAGTATTATAGACATTCATTACATTACTATCTTCTTCTTTTTTTTAAAATTAAAATAAAATAAAATAAAATAAAATAAAATTATTTCACAAGTTGATGAAGTTTAAAATCCATCAAAGCATGTTAGTAATAAATTATAATTTACAATGTATACTAAAGTGGTTAATAAGTCACTTGAATTATTAATGATGTTCTATATCAGGATAAGACCATCCAATTATTTCAACTTTGAATCGAAGACATTTTTTAATTCAAATTTTTGATAGTAGTAATTTCTTTTTGAGTAAAAATATGTGTTGTATTCTTTTCATTAGAATTTTTCTATAAAAGAAAGTTATCTATTTGATTTTTTTATAATTAATAGTAGATTATAAATATTGCTTTAATATTATTATTATTATTTTTTTATTGATTACTATGAAGTTATATTAAAAAGAAAAGAAAAGATATATATATATATATATATATATATATATATATTAGTATAAAACTTTAATATATTAAAAATATCTTCTAAAATCTTTATACAAATCAGAATTGTTGATTAGAAGTAACTTCAATTAGAAGTTTATTAAATTAATAAGTATTATTAATTATAAAATTCTTTCTCTAAGATACAAAAAATTCTATTTATATTAGAAAATAAACCATCACAAATGTAGATGTGAAGAAATTTAAAATTAAAACATCAATAAATTAAATAAATTGAAACAAATAAACATATTATTTTAGAATAGGTAGAAATTGAAGAGGTCTATAATATTGTTGACATGGAGTCTTTGTTTGAAGATAAGTGTCAATAAATTAAAGAAATAATTAAATAGTTTTCATATTTGTAGCTACAAAACTATTTTAATAAAAATTCTAAGATTTTGTTGTATCTTAGATGTTTTGATGTTAGAAAGTTATATGATGCTTAAAATATATATAATTGTATTTAAATTTTTTGAGTATATAACTGTTATTTATAATACAAGAGGTTGTCTTTAAAATCAGATTTATTAGATTTATATTGAAGGTTATTTTTTACACAAGAAACAAGATGGTTTATTGACATACTTAAATAAAATTTATTAAAAAGTTTATGTCTATTAGATTTGTTGATTTTATAGTTCAAAGATGAAACTTCTTTGGTTTCAAAAAATAATAATGTATCATTGATTATATGAAGCATCCACCTCTTATGATGCAAGATGAGAACTTCCAGACAAATATTTGAGTAGTTTTATTAATAACTTATCATGATATATAATATTAAATACAAACCATTACAAAAGAATTATCAAATAAGTTTAATAATGATTTAAATCATTTACAAACATGAAATATTTAAGATTCTTGAATTTAATACAAATTACATTTTGATTAGAGGTTCTTTTTAAGTAATAATACTATTCTTGAAATAAATCTATAATAAAATAATTTATTTTTGTAGATCTTATAATAAATTTTTATTTTAAAATTAATAGAATAAAATATATTATTTTTATCTATTTTTTATTAAAATTATATATAATTAAAATCTAATGCACCTTTTTAGAAAATAAATGTCTTAAAAAACTTAAAGAAAATAAAATAGGAGTTTAAGTGTAAGTTATTTTTTATCCTTAAAATACTAATTTTACATCTATATTGCACTCCAATTTAACTTTCTATGTTAATTATATATAGCATAACTTAAAAGATATTCTTGATAAAAATTTATTAATATTTTGCAAATCCCAAAAATATTGGACATCACATTCAATTCTTAGAGTTGTATAATCTATAAAAACTTATAATTTTTTATAATTTATGCATAAAAAATTACTTAAGATAATATATCTCAAAAATTATATTTATGTTGTATAAATTATATGTTTTTTAAAGCTTATAATAATTTATTTCTAAGTTTTTATAATACAAAATAAATATGTAGTTATTTCTATTCTTAAAATAATTAAGATTTTTTTAAAAATTAATACATTAGATTATTAATATACTTCTAAAAGTAAATCATTCAATAAATCATAAAAAATAATTAAAATATCTATGTGTTTAAAAGATATTAAATTAGATTTAAAATGTCAATAAATAATTTAGACTTCAATCTTTTATTTATACCCTTATAAGATATGTAGTAGATTAAATGCTTCTTATAAATATATTTTGATATTAACTTTTACTTCTCTCAATTAATTAAGAAGCTTCAATTTCAAAGATAAAGGATAAAAATAATTTAATAGTTAGTATATTGAATTTATAATAAATTACATATTTATACTACTATATAATTTTTTTTTCTTTACAAATACAATTGATATATTTTTAAATAATTTTAAATATTGAAGAAAATTTCTTGAGATATTTTCGTTTATTAATTTCTTCAACACAATTAGGTCATTTTGTAACAAGTTATAACTTGGTCTAAATGGTAGTTGAATTATTTTTTAAAGATTAATTTTTCAATCACATAGTTAATAATCTAGCTAGTTATTAGCATTTATCCTTTAAGAAAAATCTTAATATTCTTTACACTACTCTAAAATTTTGAAATAATCTCTACTTGAATGAAGACTTGGTCCTATATTAATAACAAATGAATCTCTTTTTTTTGTAGCTTATATAAATGCTTTAGAACCAACTAATAGAGGTTTGGATTTTCTAGATACAAGAAATTATTTTTGTTTTTGATCTTTCGTTAGATAAATTAAGAAGTAGGCACATTGGTTTTTATTGACATGGATTAATTTTTATGTAGTGAGATATTTAAAATGTGTAGTACCAATTTGCATATCTTCCATATATAATTATATATCTTGATTGGTAGAATTTGAAAAAAAATTGTATAGTAGTATTAAAGTGCTAGTATATAATCTTTTGATAAGAATTTAAAAAGTTAATTGTTACATTTAATAGCAAAATAAATTATTTAATTGAATGTTTACAAATCAATCAAGTTCACCAATAATTTCTTTACATCATGATGTAATCCCTAAAAACATTAATTAATAAGTACAATGTTATCTTGTTTGACATCAATTACTAGTTCTTAAAATTGTAATACATTTGTTAACATGAATTAATTTCTTTGTTATAAAACTCTATTTTTATTTGTTGATATACAAATTGCAACATGTTTTCTATATATAAATAAAAATTCTACCAAAAATACATCTAAGTTGTCTTATACAAGAACTTGTTGTTTTAAAAAAGCTAAGAATTGAAAAGAATTGATCCTTTGAGTAAAGTTAAATTTAACTTGAGATATTTAGATTTGATTATTGAGAGGTTGGATAAAATAAATTCTATTTAGTTGATTAATACTTAAAAATTTTATCTAATACTATTAAATTTCTACGAAAATAAAATTTTTGGTTCTCTAGTTACTACAATTGTATTCACATAAATTACTTATGATTGTAGAATATTACTCTCAATATTGGTTGAGGCTATAAAACTTTTTTGATGCATAGCAAGCATAAAATCCCTTGTAAATTTCCACATATGTACTATGCTAATTTTTTTTTCTACTAAACAAATTTATAATTATAAGAATTTAGATATTTCTATATATATATATATATATATATATATATATATTTATTTATTTATTTATTGTGAAAGCAACATTAATTTAAAGAAGGTGATTTGCTACTTTGAAAGGATAATCCACTTTATTTATAAAGCAAGATATAATCCTAATACTGTATCTATTATTTGGTCTTTCTTGATTTTTTTTTATTTAACATTGTGGAATTAAATGGTTTCAACAAATATTCTATTTTCTATTTTATTGTATATTTTATTAAAATTTCATAATTAAGTTTACAATTTATTATAGACTAATTCATTTGTTTCATTTTTAAAAAAAAAATGTTGCTATGGCTTTTATGCAAATATTTATTATAAAAATAATCAAATAAAATTTATCATTAAATAATAAATAAAATATACTATATTCATAACTTCAAATAAAATAAATAGATCTTTAATAATTTTAATTTTAAAAATAAAAAAAATAAAAAATATGTATTCAAAAATACATATAGATTATGTAAAATCTTGCTTTAACTTTTACATAAATATTAGTATGTTGCTGTTTGAATTACTTGATTGTATAGTTTAATTTTTCAAGATTTAAGGCTAATTTTATTTTTTAAAATATAATAAAATTAATTTTATACTTTCAAATTATACATATGTATATATATGTATATAGATATCAATGAATATATATATATATATATATAGATAGATAGATAGATAGATAATTAAGGCATTGAACTGTCCATAAGATCAATAAAGTACATGCGGATATAATTGGAGACAACACTCACAGCAAATTTTGCAATCTGTTCTCTATATAATATTTTGATATTATAAATTTTCATCATTCAAAATTCAAATGTATATGTCTATGTGTGTATAATGTTTACTATTTTTAGTTTAAAATGAAAATTTATGCATTTAATTTTCTTAATATCATTGCAGAGTCTGGAGGTGAGCAGTTTATGCTTGGTCTGATTCAATCATCACCACCAACTCTGTTTTAAGATTTTGAGTAAAAGCCTGGAGAAAACTGCTCCAGTGGCGAGCTGCCATCTACTGACCAGTTTTAGGGTCAGAAGGCGTTTGATTACAGACATTACAGAATGTTCTGGAAGTATGAATAGTGGCCACTTTGGTGAGAAAAAGCTGCAATAAAGTGAGATTGCTTCCCATCTTTTGGGGACCCGATAAGACTTAAATTAAGTCTCTCACAATAGTGTCTTTCACGTGCTGCACGAAGCAACTGTATTGTTGGAAGCAAGCAAAGCGCTGGGCAACAGCAAGCAAGGAACCAAAACAAAAATGGGGAGAGTGAGGCCCATGTCTCGCGCACAACGCAAGAGCCTTGCTTGGCTGGAGTTGGATTCTGCCCTCCCTTCGATGCTAGGTCTTACCCTCGAATTTAACCAAAAGTAGCAAGAGGAAGCTTCCAAAGGGCCTCGACATGCCTGAGGACAAGGTTTAGGGCTTAGGGTTCCTCCCATCATGTTGTTGTCCTCCTTTCAAACCAACTGTCATGTCATGAAGATGGTGTCGCTCAAGAGTGTACTTAGCCTGCAATTATGATGACGTACCAATCAAACCCACATGAGATGGCAAGTAATATGTGATGAAGCAGACTCAGCAGTGAAGTTGGATGAATACAAAGTTCACATGCCCCAAACACCCATCAGCATAAAAAAGCATTCACAATGCTGTGGTTTTACAGCACTACAAGCTGGTTGCGAACCCACACAATGCATAAAAGTGAAATATATGGGGGTGAAGGTATCGAATTATAGCATCCGGCAGGAAAACACAGTTGTTGAGTAACTTCTCACGACCTTATCAAACTCCAGTTATGGATGGAAACACTTTCATAGGATCATGGGTTGGTGCCTGTACACATCGTTACCTCGTCATACAAAAAGCGTAATAAAACTCTTCACTTGGTACATCTGATTGGTTCCTCTCTTACATAGAGTCGATACAAAGCGACATCGCAGATACAGAACCCGCCAGACGCGCTGTCTTCGACTGTCCGTAGCCTCCAAATCCTCACATCTTTACTGTGGCTAGGAAAATGTTAAGGGGCTCAATATATTAGATTAAGCCAGGATGCCGTGAGGTCTAGAAAATAACCCTCTTCTAAGAAACTAACTGGCAGTTTTGAGTCCAAGTTGTCACCCCAACCAAGGTTGCCGCATGTAAAATCTGTAACTCGTTGTTGCACTCCGAACAATATCCAGCCCTGTTGACATGCAGACTCACAGGATGCTTCGCTTCGCACGCGGCTTTGAGTATTGTCGAGTTCTACTTGGTCCCAGGATGTTCAGCGTTGAGCCATCCATATCCGAAAGGAGGGAATCTTTAATACGTTGTAAATGGACATCACATGGCCTGGTCTCAGGCATGCATGCAAGCCTTCCTTTCAAAGATAAGCTCGGAGAACCTCCAGGCACACATGACCACGACCTATTTACAACGCGTTCATGAGGCGAAAGCCACTTGGAGCTCATGAAACCAAGAGTGCGCCAAGGCGGAAGCGGCATGGAATTTTGCTTCAGAGACACTTTCACCGCTTCCGACATAATTTGAAGAATCTGCTCCAACCTCTTCGTCGTGCCCACAAAAACAGTGGGCAGGAGCTTCAGTGTAGTGAGGTATTCAGGAGTCGCTCTCGCCAGTACAAATTGCTCCTGAAAATCCACATCCACTATCAAACGCTCTCCATACCCCTCCACATCGATATACTCGTACTCACCCATGTGCAACGTACCTGTAAAAGGCAACAGAGAACCTCAGTAATGTGTAATCAGACTCATACAGAAATACAGCACATAAGTAGCATGAAACAGCTCCAGTTATACCAAAGAAGAATCTCCAAGGAGGTCTTGCTTCAAAATACAACGTGACCCGTCGCCTAACATTAAAAGAGGAGGCTGCTAATTACCTCTGAGCACAAGTCCAGAACCTTCCCACTTTGATTTGCAAACAGCCGCATCAAAACCTGCAGCACGTAACTGGTTGACAACCAGGCGTTTGATGCATCCACCCCGGCAGTCGGTACCTTCGGAGTTGCAAATTAAATCTGTGTCAACGTCGATGGCTAAAACTAGCTTGCGAACGACGTTCAGTAGCTCTCCTTCAATTCCTCCATACGAAGATGTCAGCACCTGCACCACCAACCAGAACATGAGAATCTGGCATGTTTTCAAGTACAGACGTTCGCACAGCAAGATAACTTGATCACAACCCGGATCGCTTCGGAACCACCCGTTTACCATCACAGAACTTACTTCCATGCATCGGGAATGGATGTAACGAAATAGATTACATAGAAAAAACAAAAACTTCCACATGGCAAGGAACCAAGACGACTGTAAGTACGTATGATGATATTACTCAAACATTTTAGACGATATTCGACCTTCTCCCAACGACCATGCTTTGCTTTATGCAGTGCGAAATAACGGCAAATTCTCTAGTGTGCCATGAAACACATATTTTTTCTATTTTCGGTGTACCTACGGAAACTTTGAGTTCGGTGTACCTGCAAGGCGTCACCACGCTTGAAAACGCTGGGAGGTCCGCTGTCGCTTTCGTTTCCGTCGAGGAGAGCAGGAGAGTCGCTCTCAATAAAATCGTGCACCATCGCTGCAAGGTCGTCACTATCATTGTAACTGCTGCCTTGTGCAGGTACACTGACACTCAAAGGGCAACCTGTGCTGGTGAAGACGTTGAAAGCAGAACCCGATTTGCCTTTCATCCACTGAGGCGGACGGCATGCTTTGTGCTTGATAGGGACAAAGGGCACTGATTCCACAGCTGGAAAATGCAAAGAGTGAACGTCTACAGGATCCCATGTAGCGTCGTAGTCGGTAGGCGTTCGACCATTGAAGCTTCCATGAGGTGTAGTTGTCGTCGGCTCGGGGCAACGCAGTCCAGGCATTCTTACAGATGGTGTCGCAATTTTGTCGAACTCTTTTGAGATAATGGCTTAGCGAAGCCCTTGTATGTGTGGAAATTACTTGACAATATATGTATATATATATATATATATATATATGATTAGCCGGTATACTGTAAGGCTTCTGAAAATAAAAGGGGGGAATTCTTCTTCGAAACTATACAAAGGAGACCAATATCCAGATCCGTGCACCGGGTGCAAATATATCCAAGAAATGGATGTATATGTAACAGAATGTACTGAGACTAAAACCACGCCCTGTGAGAGAGGATCGGGTTCACTGCGGCCTATGAGCATAGATTACAGGTTCAAGCAGGCAATTGATCAATAGTAAGGAACAGAGTATGTGTCATCTTTCGGGAGTCACGCTTCCGACACAGGATATATGCTTCGCCCTGAAAAGCTATGCTGAAAATCCTGTATTTCACTCAGCAAAACAGTTGCGCTGCGGCATTTGCAATCGTTTCAAGGTAGAAACACCCCAGGTAGAAAAGAAAGAAATCAAGCCCTTTTTGTCCTGAAAGTATGGTTCTGCACTTCAAAACAAGAAAACATTCAGTTCGAGGGCTCGTGCGTACGACATATACTTCCCAGACACATTGCACTAAACCTCAACATTGTCTTCCTAGTGAAGGATTCTGCTAACATCTTCAGCGCTAACTCCCTCCATACTTGAGTAGGGGGGAGAGGAAAATAACACACACACACACACAAACGCTTTCGAATCGGACATGCATAAAGGCCAGACATAATGCTTGAGTACCAAGCCTGTATGCAGATACATACGTCATTCCCAGCCAACGCAGCTATACTAAGATCTATCCTTGGCGCACCTGGCTCTCACTCCGACCGTACCATCTCAGAAACATTTCGCTTGACGACGCCACCTACCACTCCAGACGTTCGATGAAGATGACTTCCGCAACTCAAAAAAAAAAAAAACGCTCCTTACAAAACCTTCCTCGCAGGTAAAAACGCAAAATCCGTCACCTAACGACCACGCCCCCACGAGATTCCGAAACTATGAAACTAGACGCCCTTTCGAATTCCACTAATGACCACTGAAGTGGAGCCTCCGCGAAACCTACCTACCTCGCCTCCGCTAAAAGCAACTGCATGCCAACCAAACGCAACTATAAAATTCGATACTACACCACCAAAACAAGGTCGCCGCACAGTACTGTTTCACTCCCTCTCCCTCTCTCTCTCCCTCTCTGGCTCGCTCCCCGCCCCTTTCCACGGCCATTACTTACCAACGCGCAAAACTCTTGACAGCTCGACAAAATGCAACAGAAACTGAGTCAAACTCCGCGAAAAGCTTCAGCAGCATAACCTCGGGAACACGCGACGCGCAGAATTCGAGCCGCAGTTGCACCGAAATGAAAATTTCGCTAACGAGCACAACGAGACGTGACACGAGAGTGTGCTTGTAGAGAGAGGCAGAGGAGCGATGGCGGAGCCAGGCAATTGTAGAGATAGCCCTGAGAAAAAGACCCGAAGTGAAGCTAGCCATAGGCTTTGAGTTCCCACCCGTGTTCCCCGAACGAACGAATGTTCTCCCCACGGAGTAGACAGATGATAACACACTCTCGTCGCCGAGTACTTCCTCACCAGTCGCCACCCTATGCCACTCCGCAGAGCTAACTGGATGATAATTGGATGCTAGTTGAGCGCTAATTGGAATGTTCTAGTCAACCCTACATGTCCATTATAATTTCGGTTCCACGTCAGCTCGATCATCTCAAATTTCTGACAGGTGGCGGAAACTGCCCGCGGTCAGTTTTTCTCAAGCGGTACGCGGACCAGAACGGCTCCCGCTGAGTTTGGACTCCTGCCCGGGGGTTTCCATTATGCTCTCCTTGGAAAGCGAATCATAATATTTGGTTCTTTTAGAATATTTGATTTTGTTTCACCTCAGCTATTTGTCTGAACGATGTCCACTAATAATTTAGGTTGCAAGTGGGGCAGGTGTCAACGTTTCACAGCCATAATGAAAAAAATAAATAAATAAAAATGAAGGGTGGCAATCTCTGTGGGGCGATTCACCATTTTTGTCGGCTAGAAAAGGTATCTCTGTTCCTTATTTTGTTCTACAGACATCCTTGTATCCAGTACTGCACTTTACAGCCTTGACTTTAAAACTGTAATGTAAAATATCACCTAGAATCATTAATTATCCAATGAATCGAAATACTTGCATTGTAGGATTAGACCAATTTTTCAATATCTAAGGCATTTACTAAATCGACTCGCCCAACCTAACTATTGCCAAAAAAATATCCATTGTTGGATCCATATTGGTTGAAAATCAATGAAAAAATGGTTGGATCGGCAACCAATGATGGTGGGTGGATTAATTTAACAATTCCGTATATATATATATAATGATATGAAACAATTCTAATTACTATAGTTTATATCTTTTTGTTGAAAAATAGTTTATTGCCATTGTAGAAGACATGTTGTAATGATTCGGGTTTTATTTAATTTGACCACTTCTTTTTTCTTTTTTCTTTTTTTATACTATTATGAGGAATTTAGAGTTTCTTATACCATTGACTATGATGAATGAGACACTGAAATAGTTGATAAAATGACATAGCTGCGTGACACAGTGTATTTATTTTTTATTTTTTTATTTTGCAATCATGGCCTGCACTTCCTCTGCCACGATATTTTGTTCATGAAAAATTAGGTAACAAAAAACATTTGCGAATCTACACCAGTCGTATAAGAGTTTCACGAATTTGTCTTACAGAACTAAAATTATTACATTCGCATTATAGAATATATATTACCAGTAACTCGTGTATTTATAGAGAGGGAATCAATGTGGTAATTTTCCATTCAAACTTTATTCTTAAAACAAACCCAAACGCATACAAATGCACAAACAGATTGTTGTTCAGTGACTGTAAGTTCTTGATTTTTTTTTATTCTTTTCATATTTTACTTTTATTTTGATCATTGTGTCATAAGTTTGCTGTAAATTTCAGTAGTAAGATGTCACAATGTAAGATTTGGTTTCAGTTACAGAATACTATAATATAATTGTCATATATCACACCATCCTAAATTCATATGTTTTATTTGTTTAACAAAATTTGATGCTGTTTTGTTACACAGCTTGAGTTCTTTACAAATTATGTTAAACTCTAAGTGCTTGTGCATGGCTTTTGCAATATGTGATAAATTGTTAATAGTTGTTGTTGTTTTTGTTTGTTTTTTGTTTTTGTTTTTTGTTTTTGTTTTTTATTTAAATTCATAATTATTTGCTAACTTGTAAATAGCTTATACAAAAAATTAAAAACAGAAAATAAAAATACCAACATGAGCACTACAGAAAAGATGTCATGCTCACATTCAAAGCTTTTCCATACTTGGTTCATATCAAGCATTTGACAAGTTATTTAATTAAATTTCAGCAATTGATTAGGTGTTTTTAAATGAAACATGTTTTTAAAAAGTATGATATGATTGTATTATGTTTGTGGTTGTAGCCATCATATTGATGTTTTGTACTACTATGCTCTTACCAACATACTTTGGTGGGATTATTTGTTTGTGTGTATGTTACAATCTATTTAAATTTATTTTACTTTATTTTATTGGGACTTTCTATTTATTTCATTTTTATTTGTATGGAGTAAATCATGAGACTTTTAAGGGTGACCAAGTGAGACAATAACTGTCTAGACTAATATATAGCACATTCATCATTTTTGAACTCTACAACTTGATATGCACAGTAGTTAATGAATGTAATTTCTTCGTGAAAGTTTTACAACAAAAACAATTGCAACCAATGAATAAACGAATCCAACGTTCTATTCTATGGATGATGAAAAAGCTGAATGAAACAGTTCAATGCCTGAATATGGTGTGGACAAAATGAGTTTTGTTGGCCAAAACAAACAACAATCGCATTCACATGAAATGGAAAATTGTTGTTCAATATTCAGTTAAATACACCAGTAGAATTGCTAAATAAAATTCTGCAAAAAGTGATGATTGGAACATTTGAATATTTCACATTATGTTATCCGAAGAACACTATTTATAGTGCGTTTTTTTGTTATAATTATATAGGAAATAACACTCAATTCTACAAGTATATAATCAACAATAACCTCCTCATCACGAGTGTTCGTTGAGATAAAGCCCCAAGATTTGGCAAGGGAAGAGCCCGAAATATTCCAATCTAACTCATATTACTCTAAGAAATTACAGTTGATGCAATGGGATCGCTAAATTAGTATGTGTGAGTTCAGCATGGGCTGGTATTGAAAAAGTCACTGCCATCAAAAGTTTTCCAGACTCTGACTTTGTGGAGAACCAATGCCCTTGGACAAATCTCAAAAAGATTCAGAACAAACCAAAAAGCAACGAAGAAAGTAAGCTGCGTTCAAAACTTTTGGCTGCCCTGGGGGTTTGTACGGATGACGGGAAGGCGGGGAGGGATGGATGCCTCCTCGATGCCCGTCCCTCTGCCATGAAAGAAAGTGCAGCGAGAGGGTGGGAGTAGTCCCCCGCGGCGCGGGAATCCCACGCTGGACTTAGATTCCCGGGAATTTACTCCGTTCGTCGGGGTGGGGGAGGATCTGATCGCAAGATTTGAATCCAGTGGGGCCTGGATCCTACTGTGTACGATCGTCCCCCTTTCGTTGTCAGCCTCCTTTTGCTGACGTGGATCCCCAACTAAACTCTTGGCTATCAATACGGTGGGCTGCTAAAATCATATAATGTTCTCAACTTTAACTCTAATTTTATCTTCAAACACATTCTAGGGTTCAAAACTACTGAGATCTTTTGAAATTGTTTTGAAAAGTATAGAAATGATTTTTGAAAACGTGCTAGGTGATTATTCAAATATAATGTATGTACATGCAATCAATTGAGGTGGTCATATTTATATCATACTGTAGTTAGGTAGTTATTTGTTTTTTTTGTAAGGAATTCAAATTGAACTGTAATTTCCAACAAACAAGCCTGATGAATATCAACATTATATTTTTTCTGGTTTATGATTTGTCTCCTCTCTCCATCTTTTGTTTTTATTTTTGTTATTCTTATTTACTTAGTTACTTATTTTCAGCACTATCGACTGGTGATCGCAAATAACTTCAGAACATGTTGTAAATTGACAATTACAACAACAAGTATATTATGAACTCACTTGCCATGTGATTTATTTATTTATTTATTTTTACAAATACAAATTGACATTGCATACTTTTCAACAACTTCATCTCACATTCCTTTAAAGAAATAATTAAAAATGTAGTTTTTATCAAATGGTATTATTTGTTCCATGTAAAGGTATATTTAGATTTTACACACACACGTATATAAATATAAATATATATACACACACACACACTTGCATATGTAATTCTTATATCAATTCTTGGATGCTGTTTAGTATAAACTGAAACGTGGATAAATAAAAGAAAAAATAATAATTTATAGACATGGTTTTCAAATGATCATATCTCATAACATGATTATCTCTCATTAAGTGTAATAATCATGCTCAAAATTCATTTAGGGTTCATCTTTAACATGTTACACAATGGATGAGATTACTTCTTCTTGGCATCCCCCTCCCCCCCCCCAATTCGTAAAATTAAGGTAGAAATAAGAATTGTTGCTTTCTAAAGCAATTCCAGTCTCTTAAAAGGATCACCCACCTATTTAGAATTGATCAAAGAAAAAGATACTAATAAAATAATTAAATGATTGATTCAATACCTCTTATCTTGGTAACCTGTGAAAATATTACTATAAAACTGTAGATTCGGCATTTTAAATTATTGATAATTTGTTTTATAAGTGACGAAGCTGTATAAACTAGTTACACTAAAACTTCTACACTGCTCTGGAACTCTACATTAGAGATATGCATGACAGAATTTAAATGCCACAAGATAATGAAATACACTAATAAAAAAATAATGGAATCAGAAATAAAAGTTAAAGAATGTAACTGTCAAATCCTACCACACTTTAAGTCTTCAACACAACATTAATGGAGTAGGTTCGTTGGACTAACTACTTGAGTATTTATTAAAATGATGAATATTAATATATACTTAGTAGAGGTATAGAAAAAATATCTCAATGGATACTTTAAAAGTCTTAAATTAAAATTCAATGATAGAGTGGCCATCACAAGATAGCAAAGATTATTGTAAATAGATATTATCTACTTGAAAACTTAAAAATTGAAAGAAGAAATATATTGTTTGATTGATTTGTATTTAAAGCCATTTATGATGACTTGAATCATTAATTTTTCACCAAGCTGAAGTTTGACGATGTTTTATTTTGTAATATCCTAGAATAATATTATTTTACTTAGATTAAGTAAAAATATTAAAATTCGAGCAGTTTGTAATATTTAATAGTAAGTGGTTGTTGTACTAAATGTTCAACTTTTGGTCGAATTTATTTTTGAGAATAAAGACTTATTTATTTAGTAAATTTTTAAAAATCAAT